CCCAGCGGCTGCTGTTTGGGGAACAAGTCAATGGATCAGGTTCTCCTCTCCCAGCAGCTCTGAAGCTGTGTGAGGGTTTGCAGCGTGAATTTGTCTCCATGGGGCTGGGCTCTCTGGCAGTTTCTCTGGGCACAGAGCCATCCTAGAGGTGAGGCTGTTAAACAGTGCTTTCGAGGCACAAAAAAAGCCTTCAAAGCACTATGGTAAATCTGTCCCTACATTTCCTAAAGTCTGAAGTGAGGGCTAAAAATTATCAGGGGGAAGAAGGTGGTAGCCATTGTTTCAGATGGACACTCTTCCTCTTTCTCTTCATGTACCAAAACTGTACAAAAGTGTTTACATTTACAGACAATAATTAGTAATTGTACATTAGTAATGGATCTGTAATTTAGTTATTAAATGTCCTGAAGATGTTGACCGAGATCTCCAGTCCTGGGAATGGCAGAACACTCTGATTATGGTTCTGGGGTCACCTGTGAGTGCTAGAGACCCAGACTGAGAGTCAAAGTGCTACTGGCCTGTTCCCAAACTGAGTTTGTCCAGAGAGCATCCAGAAGGGTGAAGTGCTTTATTTTCAGGAAAGTGTGTGGGGGAGAGAACGAACATTTTTTGGGATAAAATCTTACATGATGTATAGGACACAATTAGGGGACGTTTTGGAGGGAAAATCAGAGGCAGTTTTTTGTGGGGTCTGAAGTCACTGTTGTTAGAAAACCAGAGGTAACTTACAAGAAACAAATTAACGCTTTTTTGGAGGGTGAATTTGGGGTAATTTAGAGAGGAAAAGTGAGCACATTTGAGGGAGAGTCTGTTGTAACACAGCAGTCAGAGACAGCATCTTTGACAGAAAATCTGGGATAATTTAGAAGGGAAAGAGGTAGGAAGGGATAACTTAGAAGGGAAAACATTTTTAGCTGAAAACCTGGGATACTTTAGTAGTGTGGTGGGCAGAACTGTAGACAAAATCTGTTAGAAAAGCAGTCCTGATGATTCATGAGGTGCAAAACCGACCCCTTTGCTTTCTAAACTGCTCAGAGAGGAAGCTGGGTGTGCCATAATCCAATTGTAGTCCCAAATTTTGTTTGGGTTCTCCGTTTGAAAGACAGGAGTCTGCTAATGAAGGCAGGACCTTCCCTTGGAATGAAAAATGTAAACCTCCTCCCTCCGAATTATTATAAATTTGAAATTAAGGGGCTCTCAGGCAAAGATATGAGGATAGGAACAACAGTTCTTTACTCGTAGGTATAATAAAGCAAACAAACAACAGCAGCTACGGCATTAACAACGAAAAGAACCAGGGAACCCAGTGACAGCCTTCTCGGCCGAGATGGGAAAGGATGGAAGAGGCTTTGCTCCACAAAACCCCCGGGGCAGTCGATCCCAGTGCCCCAGCAGGACTTACGGAAACAGCAAGCTGGGCCGGCAAGAATGAGCAAAAATCCTGAGGTGGTAGACGAGATGTGTGAGAAGCTCCGGAGCCGTGGCTGGAGCCGCAGGATGTCTCGGCAGGCAGGAGGTGCCGGGGCTACAGCGCCGAGAAGCAGCGGGGGCGGGACAGCGGCACCAGGCTCCCAGCAGGGCAGAGGGGCCAGCCCAAGATCGCGGGCACCCGAGCAGACGGGGATAGGTCCCTCGTTTAGTGAGGTAGATGTTAATAAGGTCCCAGTCCAAAGGCTGCTCTTACGAGCAAAGGTTCACCCACAGAAAGGACGAGGCAGTACAGGGCTGGGCTCCGGCGGTGACGGGGAATTCTCCCCGCACTAAGCGACAGCTTGCCTGTCCTCTTCCGACGCCGAGAGCGAGAGAGCTGGCAGCTCCCCAGCCCATCTTTTGCCTGCCCAATTCTCGAGGTATCCCTGCCCCTCTCCCCTGAGTTTGGCCACTTCTTTAGTTTTTCTTAAGTACCCTGTCCTTAGAGTATCCTAGCAACTAATGGGAAAGAAATTCTGTAAGTAAAAAGGAACAAAAGGAAAGAAACTTCACCCCCAACATTATCCACCCCGAATTTTTTCCCATATCAACATGTCACATCAAATTTAAACCTTTAAATTATATACATACTTGCACTACCTTAATTATATGCATGTGTACATGCAGATACAGATACAAGCACTGTGTCATGAATAGTTCACCCTAAAACAAGGTCCTCTTGAGATACCCATCAGCTCTCTCCATCCTTTTGCATCACCCACCAGGTGTAACCTGGTCCCTGAGCGAAGACAACCCCACGGATGGGATTGTCTTTGCTGGAGGCAGAATTAACCCAAAAATTTTTTTTCCAGCATACTTCTCTGTTATTTCCAAGAACCTTATCTGTTGTTTCCAAGGGCTCAGACTGGGCAGGGCCTGCTCAGTTAGTGGAACCTCAGGTGTTCACTAACAATGTGGTCTTTTCTTAATCAATCTCCCAGTTCTTGAAAGTTCCCCCACCCGGTGCCTTCAAGCTGGTTTTAAGAGGCCATTGCACCGTTCAACTTTCCCCGCAGCAGGTGCATGGTAGGGGATATGGTACACCCACTCAGTGCCATGTTCCCTAGCCCAGGTGTTTTTAGGGCTGTTCTTGAAATGAGTCCCATTGTCTGACTCAATCCTCTCAGGGTTGCCATGCCTCCAAAGGACCTGCTTTTCAAGTCCCAGGATGGTGTTACGGGCTGTAGCATGAGGTACAGGGTAGGTTTCCAACCATCCAGTGGTGGCTTCTACCATCGTGAGCACGTAGCGCTTGCCTTGGCAGGTTTGGGGCAGTGTGATTTAGTCAATCTGCCAGGCTCCCCCATACCTGTATCTGGACCACCGCCCACCGTACTATAGGGGCTTCAACCTCCTGGCCTGCTTGATCGTGGCACACATCTCACAGTCATGAATGACCTGAGAAATACTGTCCATGGATAGGTCCACCCCTTGGTCTCGTGCCCAATTATAGGTGGCATCTCTACCCTGATGGCCTGAGGCTTCATGGGCCCATTGAGCTAGGAACAACTTGCCCTTATGTTGCCAGTCTAAGTCTATCTGTGACAACCCTGTTTTCACAGTCTGATCTACCTGCTTGTTATTTTGGTGTTCCTCATTACTCTGATCTTGGGGACATGAGCATCTACATGACGGACTTTCACTTCTCTACCCTGGTGGCGATGTCTTTCCACTCACCAGCAGCCCAGACTGGTTTTCCCCTACACTGCCAATTGGCCATTTTCCACCTGTCCAGCCATCCCCACAGAGCATTGGCTACCATCTATGGACCAGTACAAAGGTATAGCTTTGGCCACTTCCCTCTATCAGCAATGTCCAGGGCCAGCTGAATGGTTTTAAGTTCAGCAAATTGGCTGGATCCACCTTCTCCTTCAGACTTGTATGGGGCTTCATACAGCTGCTTTCCACTTCTGGTTCCTCCCTACGATGCGACAGGAACCGTTAGTGAAAAGAGAATAGCATGTTTCTTCTGCTGGCAGTTGGTTGTACGGTGGAGCTTCTTCAGCCCGTGGCACTTGTTCCTGCTTCTCTTCATCAGTGAGACCAAAGTTTTCACCTTCCGGACAGTTTGTAATTATCTCCAAAATCCCAGGGCAATTTGGGTTTCCAATGCAGGTGTGCTGTGTGATGAGGGCGATCCACTTGCTCCATGTAGCGTCGGTGGCGTGGTGGGTAGCAGGAACCTTTTTTTTGAATATCCACCCCAGCACTGGCAGTCGGGGTGCCAGGAGGAGTTGTGCTTCTGTGCCAATCACTTCTGAGGTGGCTTGAACTCCTTCATAGGCAGCTAAGATTTCCTTCTCTGTGGGAGTGTAGTTGGCTTTGGACCCTCTGTAGCTTCGGCTCCAGAATCCCAGTGGTCGGCCTCGAGTCTCCCCAGGCACTTTCTGCCAAAGGCTCCAGGACAAGCCATTGTTCCCAGCTGCAGAGTAGAGCACGTTCTTCACATCTGGTCCAGTTCTGACTGGGCCAAGGGCTACTGCATGAGCAATCTCCTGTTTGATCTGAGCAAAGGCTTGTTGCTGCTCAGGGCCCCAGTGGAAATCATTCTTTTTTCGGGTAACCAGGTAGAGAGGGCTCACGATCTGGCTGTACTCAGGAATGTGCATCCTCCAAAAACCTATGGCGCCTAGGAAAGCTTGTGTTTCCTTCTTGTTGGTGGGTGGAGACATTGCAGTGATCTTACTGATGACCTCCGTGGGAATCTGACGCCGTCCATCTTGCCACTTTACCTCCAGGAGCTGGATCTCTCGAGCAGGTCCTTTGACTTTGTTCTTTTTGATGGCAAAGCCGGCTTCCAGCAGAATCTGGATGAACTTTTCTCCTTTCTCAAATACTTCCACTGACATGTTCCCCTGCACAATGATGTCATTGATGTACTGCAGATGTTCTGGAGCCTCATTTTTTTCCAGTGCAGCCTGGATCAGTCCATGGCAGATGGTGGGGCTGTGTTTCCACCCTTTGGCTCTCCAGCTCATGGATCATCTTGTGGATGTGAATCACAGCATCTTGAGTGGTTCTGTGCTGCCCATGGTGCACTATTAAAGTGGCAGTTGGTACTCGCTGTTCTTCCACTTTCAGGAGTCCTACTGCAGATGGGTTCTCTGATAGTCCAGGCAAGCTGTTCAATTGCTTAATGTCCTCTGCCTCCACAGCAGCTATTCCAAAAGCCCACCTGAGTCCCTTTGGGTCTTTGAAATAGCCATTCCGAAGGAAGTCTATGCCCAGAATACACAGGGCCTCGGGGCTGATCACAATAGGATGTTTCTGCCACTCCTTCCCAGTCAGGCTCACCTTGGCTTCCAACAGAGTCAACTGCTGCGATCCCCCTGTCACCCCAGCAATGGAAACTGGTTCTGCCCCCACATGTCCTAATGGCAATGGTTTATACCTAAAAGATTTTACAGATGTAACTGAAACTTTCAACAATTTTCTCTCTCAGGATAAAAGATTGAAAACTACATACATTCATATAAAGCTACATGATTTATTATTTATTATTATTTATTATTTATGATTTATTACACAAAAATATCTTGTTATTTACTACACAGTATAGGCACTATAAAAACCAGTGTAGTATAACACACTGTTTTCAACCACCAGTGATTATATTAAAGCTAGAAAAAAAAATCTATTCAGTGAAAGTCAATGTAACACAGCCGTGCAAAAAATGGAGGAGTATCTCTTTTGCTTATCTTTGAGAGGGAACTGAGAGGTGTCAACAATCAGGGAGGGATTGTTACACATAGCATTCCAAGGTATGTTGCAAGACCTGCTGTTAATATTTGGGACTGGGTGGCTCAAGGCTCAGCCTGTGGGACTATTGGGTGGCAGTTCCTTTCAGGCACAGAAGCTGGAGCTTCTCAGGCCTGAGTGTGTCATCGTCCACTGACAGAAGCCATGGGACAATGAGGCAGCTTCAAGCTCAAGAGTGGAATGGCGAGGCAAGAGCAAGCTTGGAGCTGAAGAGGGTGGATGAGAGGCCCTCTGGGCAAAGTGCCTTCCTGGCATGGCCAGGGCACCTTTCAGGGTGCCATGGCTGGCTTTGCACTGGGCAACCTCCTTGTGTGCAGGGCTGGGTCTTTGCTATGGTTAGCCTTTTGCCATTGTGCTCCTTTGGCTGCATGGAGAGAGGGGCAACCCTGTAAGGAGGGTGAGAGCCCCTGTCTCCACAGCTGAGGGGGCAAATGGAGCTCTCCTGGCCCCCAGCCCAGCCACCCTGTAAGCAGGGCAGGGCTTTTCCCCAGCCCCAGCAGCTTTCTGCCTGCTGCTGGTCCCTGGCCAGCGTGACCCCCTGTACCTGGGGCACGTCACAGCCTTTGTCCCTGTGCCAGCCCTGAAGCGCCTCAGCACGTCGAGGCCCCTGTTCCCTCCCTGCAGTGCAGTGCAGCGGCAGGTCTGATGCTTTCCTCTCCCACTCAGCAGCAGGAATGGCTCCCCAGAGTGGGTTGCCTGTACAGAACTTGCTCCCTCTTCTGGGACTGTCTTCTCCTCCCATGTCTCCCCCTTAGCTGGTGTGAGTGAGCAAGTGCATTTGTGCTTTACCCCCTCCTTAGAAATAGAGCAGTGTAGCTGAGACTTCCCAGGAGGGAAAGAGGAGCTCTGTGCAGCCACAGGCAGGAACTAAAAATGCACAGATGGAGAAAGTGTCTGGCCTTGCCCCTGCTTTCTGTTGAAAGTCGCTCAGCAGTAGAGCATGACAGCCCTGTACTCAGGGCACATGTCAGGACCCTATGGTGTCCTTTGTCCCCAGGAGCAGCCCCAGGTCCCAGCAGGGCTGGGGAGGCTGCTTCAGCCAGGTGACAGGAACGAGCACTCCCAGACCCTTGCCAGGGTGCAGGATGAAGTGCTGTGCTGCAGGTTGCGGTCCTGCCTTTGGCGCTGCTTTGGGCTGGTGCCGCCTCCCTGCGGGCCTTGCTGAGGAGGCTCCCGGGGCTGTGTTGATGTGTTGTGCCATGGCTGGGCTCTGGCAAGCAGGGTGCAGGCCGCAGCCTGTGCTCCGTGGTGCTTGTTGGGGTGCCCGGGCTGTGAGGGGCGGCCCCGTAAGTGGGGTTGTGTACATTCATTGGCAGTGGTCGGAGGGATCCCCTGTAATCAGGCGGGTTTCCCTGGTCCTGGCCTTTCAGAGACGTGGGGTCGGGAGTCATGGGGTCGGGCGTGTGCCCTCCCTGTCCTCGGGGCTGGGCTCCTGGCCCCTCAGGCCCCTCGGCTCGACTGCCTGACTGCAGAGTCTCGTTCCTGTTGCCGCGGGGAAAGGCCGAGCTCTCTGGCTCCCTGGGTGTCATCAGCCTGTAAGCAGTCCGTGGGTCTGGGAGCCTTTGTGCTCCCTCAGCTGGCAGCCTGCGTGGGGCGCCCGCCCCGTTAGTGGGGAGCACCCCAGAATTGGAGAGAAGGAATCTCCACAGGCCTTGGGACCAGGGCTGCCCTGTAAGTCAGGGCCAGTGCTCTGAAGTCCTGGGCACTTTGCAGTCCAGGCAGCGGCTTGAGCCCCCTGTGAGCAGGGGGGCAGCCCCTTGCCCACTGCTTTGCATGCCCAGCTTCATTTGCCTGGCTCCCAGCACCATGTGGGACTGCTCTGGACGTTGTGGTGGTGAGTCAAGCTGAAGTTGGAGGGTTTTGGGCAGCTGGGGGCAAGGGGGTCTGTGGGTGGTGGCTTGAGGGTCTCACCGTGGGGCTGTTGGGTCGCGGTTCCTTTCAGGAGCTGGAGCTTCTCAGGCCTGATTGTGTTGTTGTCCATTGCAGAAGCTATGGGACAATGAGGTAAGCAAGCACGAGCAGCAGCGGATTCAAGCTTGAGCGGAAGGGCAAGGTAAGAGCAGCAGGGATGGCTGGCAGGTCTGGGAAGAAGGCAGTGTCTGTACTGGGACATACTGGTTCTGGTATCTGAGCTTGCTGTAGGGAGGCAGCCATTCTTTTCTCTCCCTGATGGGGCATGGGACATGAAGGTAGCACACCTGAACTTCCATTCTGGCCACTGTCCAGCCCACCCTGCTCCCCTCTGCCTGGCCCTTCCATCATTTCCCCTAGCTAGGAGCCCCCTCCTCTGGCTTGTCGACAGCCTGTACAGCAGAATCTCCCTGGTGGTGGCCTGGGCTCTGCTGGAGAACCATGGGGAGGATAAGGTGTGGTACCAGGCACTGAATGCCACATCTGGCCCTTCCCCAGCCTCACCCCATGGTTTTATTTTGCTCATTTACCCAGCAATGATCTCCCCAGCTTCAGCTTCTACTGAGGCTGCTGAATAGGGGAAGGGCTTGAAGGGGAACAAGATACTAGCACCAAATCTTTCAAGATTTTTGTCAGACTCCAGATCTCTTCCTGTTCCCTGTGAGAGTAAAACAACAGTCTGGGAGGAAAATGAATGCCTCAATGTCCTTCTGTAAGCTAATGACGTGTCACGCAGGCACTGCCACCCCAGCCTCTACTAAAGAAGCAAAAAAGCAAAATGAAGAGTGGAGGCCTGTAAACATGGCACATCTGGTCAGCTACCTCTCCTTTTTGATCAGGCTTACCACTGCCATTGCAATTCTGTCTGGATGTCACCTTTCTACCCTGCACCTCTGTAGCTCCTGTGACTAACACAGCCTGGAAAGGGAAGGCAGAGCCCTGGAAACGATGAATGCAAGCCCCTCATGGGCTTTGTTGGGCTGGTGCTCCCAGCCCCGGTGAATTGAGCGGGAGGCAATGTCTGGGTTGCTGCCCTCTCTCCAGGGGTGGCTTACCCTTCCTCCCCCCGTCCTTTTCCTCCTCCCCCGTCTCTGGCTCTGCCCGGTGAGAGCTGCTGGGAAAGCAACACAACGGGGCCCATTCATTTCTCACTTCTGCAAGGAGAGCAAACACCGGCGCAGGAGCTCAGCAGCTGCTAGACAGGGCAGGGGACGCTTTCCTCTCTTCGACACATCTTTAAGTCCAGGTACTCCAAATCTCGTGTGTGTGAACCCTCCAGGTGTGAGGGAGGGAGTGATGGCATGATGTCTGGCACGTGGCAGTGCTCCAGACACAGCATGGGGACTGAGTTTAGGGACATTACATTGGTGTCACTGGGCAGTGGGTGTGCAGGAGAGGGCTGCCTCCAGTGTGTGTGGGGGGCCTGCAGCAGGACTAGATGGGGCAACAGCAGGAGGGCAGTGTTGGGGCATGGGACCACAGGGGATGATGAGCTACATTGGGCATGGGGCTGTGCACTAGAGTGGTTCTACAAGTTTGAGCCTTGCATACCCCACTGGTGCTGTCTCGGAGCTTAGTAGGATATATTGGTCATATCTGCAGCCAGCTGCCTCCCCTGTGTTTGCCCCAGCCTTGGCCTCTCTCTGGTACCTTCGCCCCAGGGGCTCACTCCTGCCCAGCCAAAACCAACCTGTCCTTCCTGCAACTAAACAGTGGAGTTCTATTCCAAACACTGCTATGAATAGCTTAGGGGGGAAGCAGGGAGCTTGCAGGGTAGAGAGCTGGAAGGCAGATGACGAGGATGGGACCAGACATGGGACCTTTGCCATTTAAAGAAGGGTAGCAGCTCAGAAGCCTGTGTGATCACATTCCCTGGATGGCTACACCTGCTTGCCTTACAAAAACAATTGTAGGAGAGACATTGATAGCTTCCACAGATCAAGGCAATCGTAAGTTAGTGCTATTTGAAGAAAATGCAGGGGTGGGGTGAGTGCCTGTTTCAAGCCAGCTCCTTGTGAGTGACCTTCTAGCTGTGACCTTCACTTTTCATTCCAAGTATTCCTCCTCTCTTTCTTCCACTCTTCCTCGTTTATAACTTGTGAAATCATAGTGTGAGAGCAAGAGAAAGTGAGACCTGCACCACTAGGTCACAGCAGCAGCCCTCTTGGCACATGGGCTGCCAAGCAGGAGATGCTATTTGGGGATGCATGGAGTCTGGCCTCCCTCCTGGCCTTACTGTCTCTCCCCAGCCACAGGAGCCCTCTGACATGGGGCCATCCTGCGGGCTCCTCCTGCTTGCAGCAGCCCTGGGGACAACAGCTGCTGCCCGCTGCCCTACACCCTGTGTCTGTGACAACCTCCGTGCCCACGTCCTGTGTCTCAATGGGAGCCTGACGGCCGTCCCTAACACCATCCCAGAGGTGAGCAAGAGGAATAAAGGTCGAGGGATGGGGAGAAAAGATAGGTATGGGAGACCTGGGGTAACTCCATGTTTTATTTGTGTGACTGACAGCTCACAAAAAAACTAGATCTTCGTGGCAACAGTTTCACTGTCATCCCAGCGAGAGCCTTCCTTGCCACCCCCTACCTGACACACTTAGACCTCCAGCATTGCAAAGTGGAGAGGCTGGAAGAAGGGGCTTTCCGGGGTCTGGGGAGGCTTGTCTACCTCAACCTGGCCTCCAATGGCATAGCCCTCCTCTACCAGGAGTCCCTGGATGGGCTCTCCTCCCTCCAGCAGCTCATTCTGGAGGGGAATCGCATTGAAGAGATACAGCCTGGTGCTTTTGGCCATCTGGGGTCCCTCACTGTCCTCGACCTGAGGGCAAATGCTTTGGTCTACCTCCCAGACATGGTCTTCCAGGGTCTACAGGTTCTTAGATGGCTCCGGCTGTCGCACAATGCCCTCCATGTGCTGGGCAGTGAGGCCTTTGCTGCTCTGCCTGCCCTGCGCAGGCTGAGCCTGGACCACAATGAGCTGCAGGCACTGCCTGGTGAGGCCCTGGCCAGGCTGGATGGGGCTACGTGGCTAGACCTGGGCCACAACCCCATCACCTACGTGGCCGAAGAAGCCCTGGCCATGGCCTCACTGAGGCACCTCTTCCTGGATCATGCCTCCCTCCAGGATGTGGCACAGGATGCCTTTGCCCGCAGTCCCCAGCTCCGTATGCTGGACCTCCGGGAAAACCAGCTGCAGGGGCTGCCACCCCTGGCTGGGGCAGGGGGGCTGGTAAGGGTCAGCCTGGATGGGAACCCTCTGCTCTGCTCCTGCCTCCTGCGCCCCTTCCACAGGTGGCTGGCAAGGGCACGGGTGCAGGCCGAGGGTGCCTGTGCTGCACCCCCTGCCCTCCGTGGCCGGTCCCTCAACTCCCTGAAGTCCCCTGAGATGAGATGCAGTCGCCTCCGGCCACCCCCTAGCCCCAGTGCACCGCCAGAGCAGCCAAGGGCAGGTGGCAGCAGGCAGTGCCCCCGGGGGTGTGTCTGCTCTCCCGATTTCCATCATGGGTCTTGTGAGAACAGGGACCTGCGCGAGATCCCTCGGGACTTCCCTGAGGACACCCGCCTTCTCGACCTGCGCCGAAACCCCTTCAGGACAGTGCCACCAGATGCCTTCCTTGGCCTGAAGGGGCTGGTGTCGCTCCACCTGCAGAGGTGCAGCATCAGGACACTGCACCCCGGGGCACTCCGGGGGCTGGAGAGCCTGGTCTACCTGTACCTCACCAACAACCACCTCTCCACCCTGGCAGCTGCTGCCTTTGAGGGGGCCCCACAGCTGGCCTACCTCGACCTGGACCACAACAGCTTCACCCATGTGCCTGCAGGCACCTTCCGGCTCCTGCCCAACCTCATCTCCCTCCATCTGCAGCACAACACCATCGGGGAACTGGCAGAGGGCGACCTGGCTGGAGCCAGGGGGCTCCGCTGGCTCTACCTAGCTGGGAATGCCATCAGGCACATTGCCCCTGCTGCCTTGGCTCCCACCAAGATGCTGGAAAAGCTGCAGCTGGAGGGAAACCACCTGTCGGAGGTGCCCACAGCAGCCCTGCGGGGCCTGCCTGCCCTGAGTGAGTTGAAGCTGTCCCGAAACCCCATCAAGCACATGGGGGATGGTGTTTTCCTGCCGGTGGCCTCCAGCCTACAGCACCTCTACCTGGACAACATGGGCCTGGAGTGGGTGAGTGCATTACAGGACTCCCAAGGGGCAGTGGCATCACAGGGCATATTCAAGGCTCCTATAGGGGAATCCAAACAGACATCCCTGAATTCCCAAGCCTTCAGGAGATGTTCCATAGCCTGGCTGGGAAGCCAGATCTCTTCAGGCTCAGCTATAGCATTGCCTTGCTTCAACCTTGGTCCTGGCTCCCCTGGAAGAAGCTTACTCCCTCCAGTCCTTAAACACCCAATTTCATTGGGGTCCAGATCATCCCCTAAATCACCTCCTTCCCCCAGCTCTGGCCAGATTTCTCTTTCTCTTATTACAGGCTGTCCTGCAGGACTCTTCACTGCTATTAATCCAAGTATTTCCATCCTCTCAAGGAAGTGGTGTTAGCAGCACCCTCATAAAAATTGTGTATCTTAACAGCACCCAGGTATCACTCTGAGACCTCCTGCATATGAACTTCTTTGTAAGAAGACTGAACAGGGGTCTAATGAGTTCCAAAACATGATTGAAACTGCTTGGATTAATTATAAGTCCCCCTTCTTTAAAGCAGCTTTTTCATGGGGTTGCCAGATTCAGGACAAGTTGTCAGGTCCCCCAAGTTGATCAGAAGTGCAGGAGCAGAGATCTGCTCCCCTGCCTTGATCAGCATGCCTCTGACTTTCCCTTCTTCCATTGCAGATTTCCCCCCATGCCTTCACTGGTCTTGGTCCCAAGATCAGAAGCCTCTACCTGGAGAGCAATAAAATGAGTAACATACCCGACATGAGCAACTTCACGGGGCTGGAGATCCTCAACCTGCAGGATGTGCCTTTCCACTGTGACTGCCAGCTCCTTCCGCTGCATAGGTGAGTGTCGCGAGCTGGGAACAGCCCCAGGGATCTTCCTGGGGGACAGCTGGACCTCCCATGCTGAAGGCACAAGCTCACAGCACACTGACTGTTTTTGGTCTTTTCCCGTAGTGGTCAGATGTAGCACACATCTATGTGCAAGGATGGAAGTTGCCTGGGCTTTCTGGCTGTAGGGAAAGCAGCCACAAGCTGGGGAGGGCAAATTTTCAGATATTCAGAGGTCACCCAGGTGACCTGGCCTTACTTAGAAGTGATTATCCACTTATGGGCACAGACTTTTGTCCTTCCTTTTGCCCTGCCTCATTCTTTTCCCTGATCTTCTGCCACATTTCCAGGTGGATCAACAAACTCAACCTTCGCATAGGGGCCACCTGCGGGTCCCCAGCAGAAGCCCAGGGACTGAAGGTGAAGCTTTCCACCACTTTCCAAACTTGTCCTGACTGGGGACAAGGCGAGGCTGGGGAAAACAATCCTAACAAGACTAAGGCTGCAAGCAAGCCCAGCAAGAAAAAGAGGTCGGGAAAACCTCCAGCCAGAGGCTTCAGTAAGAGCAGAGCGTAGGGTTTCTTAAGGTGTGTAGGACGTGCTGAGCCATATCTACAGTCTGGCTAGAGCAGTTTTTCTAGACTTGTCCCCATCATGGGGACATGAGTAGAGCCCAAGGAGCAAAGGAGAGCCTGTGCCAACCAAAACAATGCTGATTTGCCAAAGATGCAGGGTTTGGTTTTGTAGGACACAGAGGCACATTCCATAGAGTCTGCAGCATACTTTGGTGATGCAAACAATGAAGCCAAATACTTGCTGCTTCTTTCCAAGGCTTCTTCCAGCCTCGTGGAAAAGCTGATATCCACAAGGTTGGTTTTGTTTTTGAGAGCACTTTCCCAGCCTGCAAAATCATAGCAGAACCCTGAGTGGGACTGCAACCAGCACCGTCCAGTAAGGTCCTGCACTGGCACAAATCTTATGCTAGAAAGCTTAAAAATTATTAGTGCAAATGTTGCCTTGATTCCCAGCAGTTCCTCAGAATTAAAACATGCACATGGAAGCCTTTTTATTTCCTGCAGAATTTGATCAGTGATCCATAACTAATCCCATGATAAGCAATGTGCTCAACCTATTCCCCATGACTGCATAGGTTGGGACCCCAGGCCCCAGCAGTTTGCTTAAATTGAAGAGGCTTTAAAAGATAAATTTACAGATAAAGATATGTTTTGACTAACTCTGGGTATTGGTGACCGGGAAAGCAATATGCAAACCTTAGGCCTCTTCCTGAAGTTGGTCACAGGGCTTCAGGGTACGATTGTAGATCAAATTTACAGTACAACTGTTCAAAAAATTAAAAACTCAAACCATGCTCCAAGTCCTCTGCAGTTCTGGGTTTAAAAGCAAGAAAAGGCAGAAGCAGACACAGTGTGGATGAACATCTGGGTTTGAGGCTGGTGCCATGGAGGTTTTGGCTTTTGAGACAATGGTGTATGCTTTAGTGATTGTAAAATTACTGTGGGTGTGCTTTAATGATTGTAACATGTTAGAAGGATGGGATCCACCTGTCTATAAGGGGTAAGAGAATTTTTGGCAGCAGCTGCCTAATTTGGTGAGATGGGCTTTAAATTAAGGAACTCCGTGCAGTTGAAGTCCAAAGTCCCATGGCTTCCTCTGGGATCACATCAATCAGTGCAGTGAAAGGTGTTCCTTTACTGTCCCTTAAGGTGAGTGTCAAAGAGCCACCACTGAAGGTGTTTATGGTTATGGTGAATCCTCCTAAACTCCTTCGTGGGTAATCCAATTGTTGGATTAAACCAGACGTGAGGGGGATAATTTCAGGTTCTTCCCTGGCAAGCTGTGGGATGGTATGAAAAGGTTAGAGGGACAGGGTGCTAGCAAGTCTCTCTGCAAGTGACTTTTAGAGGTAGCAGACACAGGGGAGCACACTTGGAGTCTTACAGAAGTGAGACAGGGAATCCAGAGGTAACAGAAGCCAACAAGGATACCAGCAGGGAAATATCTCAAAGGAATTAAGGGGTGTTCCACTAGGCAGGTGATGCAGCCAACAGCCTGGCCAGGGTGCCTTTACACCAAAGCATGCAGCATGGGCAACAAACCAAAGGAGGGGCTGGAAGCCACCAGGCTGAAGTTATGACCTTGTTGCCATTACTGAAACTTGGTAGGACAAATTGTGTGACTGGAGTCTGACTATCAATGGCCATGAGCTGTTCAGAAGAGACAGAAAGGAGGGAGAGGTGGAGGGGTTGCTCTCTACATCTAGAGGTGCACTGAGTGTGAAGAGCTGTCTCTGAAGAACAGCCATGAGCAGGTTGAAAGACTGTGGGTAAAAATCAGACACTGAGGCAACAAAAGGAACCTTGCAGCTGGGGTCTCCTACAGCTGCCGGACCAAGGGGAGCCAATTGACAAAGCCTTCTTGCCCCAGCTACAGGAGGCATTGTGCTCACACGCTCCAGTCCTGTTGGGGGACTTCAGCCACCTTGACATCTATTGGGAAAGTACCAAGGCAAGCTGCAGGCAGTCCAGGAGACTCCTGCAATGCATGGAGGTCAGCTTCTCTCCTGCAATACATGGAGGTCAGCTTCTTGAGCCAGGGGGACTTCTGTAAAGCTTTTGACAGAGTCCCCCACAACTACTCCCTTCAAACTGAAGTGATGGATTCCATGGGTGGACTGTTTGGTGGATTAGGAATTGGTTGGATTGTCACCTTCAGAGGATAGAGATCAACAGCTCAGAGTCCCAAGGGGCATCAGTAACCAGTGGTGTCCCTCATGGGTCTGTACTGGGACCAATTGTGTTATTTAATGTCTTCATTAATGACACAGATGAAGGGACCAAGTGCACCCTCAGCAAGTTTGCAGGTAACACCAAGCTGAGTGCTGCTCTTGACTCACCTGAAGGATGGGATGCCATCCACAGGGATCTGAACAGACTCAAAAGTGGGCACATGGGAATTTCATGAGGCTTAACAAGACCAAGTGCAAGGTGCTGCACCTGAGTTGGGGCAATCCCCAGTATCAACACAAGCTGGGGGATTAAGGGATCAAGAGCAGTCCTGCCAAGGACTTGGGGATACAGGTGCATGAGAGGCTGGACATGATCCAACAATGTGCACTCACAGCCCAGAAACCCAATCAAGCATCAAAAGATGAGTGAAAGCGTCAAAAGCAACATGGCCAGCAGGGTGAGGGAAGGGATTCTCTCCCTCTGTCCTGGTGAGACCCTACCTGAAGTGCTGCATCCAGCTCTGGGGTCCTCTGCACAAAAAGGACATAGACCTGTTGGAGCAAGTCCAGAGGAGGCCACCAAAATGATTAAAAGGGTGAAGCACCTGTCCTATGAGGAAATGATGACAGAATTGGGATTGTTCAGTCTGGAAAAGAGAAGGCTTCAAGGTAACCTAACTGCAGTCTCCTGCTACCTGAAGAGAACATACAGGCAAGATGGGACAAGACCATTTACATGAGCAAGTAGTGACAGCACAAGGACAAATGGATTTGAACTGAAAGACAGTAGTTTTAGATTATGTATTAGGAAAAAACTCTTTACTGTGAGGGTGATGATGCACTGGAACAGGATGCCCAGGGAAGTTGTGGATACCTCACCCCTGTAAGTGTTCAAGGCCAGGCTGGATGGGTTTCTGGGCAACCTGGTTTAGTGGAAATTGTCCCTGCCCACAGCAGGGGTATCAAAACTAAATGAGGATCTTGAGAATCTTAAGGTCCTTTTCCAACCCAAACCATTCTATGATTCTATGAAAAAAGGTCTCACTTCTTCAGCAGGCAACATCATCTCTTTCTGTTTCTTCACCTCTTTCCACTCTTCCTGTCCTGATTTTCTTGGGGTTCGCAGTGCTTAGACCAGAGAGCACAGCACCGAAGTCCTACGGGGGCAGCTCCTTTCCTGATACGTCCTGCACTCATCACGTTGGACAGCAGCTCGTCATCTCCAGCCACAGCCAAGAACCCAAACTGGCCTTTTGTGCCCTGGCAGCCTCTTTCCCTGTTTTGAGCTCCTGCTCCAAAAAATGCCTTCAAAATCAGGCATGCACAACCACAGCAGCCACCCTGGTCATGCTCCTCAGCAAGCCTGTAGTCTTTCTGCTGTTTCCCAGGGCTTAATATTACAAATCTAGGGGAAATTTTCTTGCACACCAGGAAAGCAGAGCTGTGATGCTGCAGGGTGGTCTGCTTTACAAAAGGAAGGCCCTTTTGGTCCCATTTCCCTTTGCCAGGACCTTCCCTAAAGAGCCACAAGGTAAAACCGCTGTGGGCAGCTGGAGAATGCTCCAGATCAGTCTGTGTCCTCCTGCTTTATGCTGTTGATGGGAACAGGAAGCTCTGTCTCTCCAAATTCTGCATCTGAAGGATCAATGGTTTCTTCTTTCACCCGCACAGCAATGACTACCAAGAGACAGACAGACAGAGGAAGAAGTAAATAAATACAATCAACCCATGTTGACTTGCATTACCTGCAGCATCTCCAAACCAGCTCTGTCCATACAGGTCCTCAAAATGCCCCAGGCCCTGGGACGAGCCCATTTCCTGAGGGTCCCTCAATGCAGGCAACCCTGTTATGCCACTGCAAATCAATGTTATGCCACAGCAGCAATCAGGATAGGACTAAACCCTGTCAGCATTCAGCTGCTAGTTCCCAAGAACAGTTCCTAAGGGTTGAAAAGCTGGTGTGGTCCACTTTCAATCTGTCTGGGTTCACACGGGGGAACTTAAATGAACAAGAGAGACCTTCATGACTCTCTAATACCCATGTGCACAAGGCATCTCACCCACCCTCCTTCCCCCTACCCACTAGGGTTGGCAGGTAAGCCAGCTGCTCTTCTGGTCACCACAGCATGAGAGGCTGTGTTCATGTGCTGAAAAAAGCCCTTATGGGGATGAGGATGTGACAGCAACCCAGAGGTTGCAACACATCCTCATCATGTCAGCAACATCTGACACTTTGTCTCTCCTCCCTGACCTCACACATCCAGACTGCTCAGCAGGGCAGCCAGGCCCACAGCAGGCATTAGCAGCATTGAGATACTGAGCAGTCCTGGTTCCACCAAACTCTCTTGGGAGGCAAACCTTTCCAGCAAAAGCAAGCAAATGCTTTCTTCTACTCTCTGGAATGTCTCTGGAGGAGTAGGGAAGGACATTTGACAAAATGCTGTTGCCTTTTCCTGCCTGAGGGCACCCATGACTTAGTGGCCAAGAGGGTGTACTGGGAGAGGTGGATGTGGCTGCAGGTTAGAGTAACTCATTCCCTTACTCTCATCAGGTGCTGGCTCTGGCAAAGCCTGGCTTGCAGCTTTTGCTTCTCTTTTTGAATTCGTGGCAGAAGGCTTCTTGACAGTCTGCTTGACACTGCGGGCTTTGGCAGGTAACTTTTTTCCTTAACAAAGGAATAACAAAGTATGAGCAAAAGAGTGTTTCTTTTCCTCTGGAAAATCAGCAACCCTGTTCCTCTGAGAAACCACAGGCCAGAAACCAGCACAACTGAACAGAAAGCTACATGGTCATTAGCTGCCAACTGGTTATACAACAGAAATAGCCTACTGGAGAAAAAATCTATAGTCATCATCTCAAAATATGCTCCTTCATGTTCTCCTTCATTCAAGGCAAGGCACCTCAGCATGTGTTTAACTTCCAAGGAGCAGGTCCTCTTGGAATCAGTGTGGAGTCAGCTTTGCTTACCTGTCTGGGTCTAGTCCTAGGCAATGAGTATATCTGCTGCAAGGCACAGGCATCGTAACCATAATGTTCTGTTTTTTAACTGACCTTTTTATTTATGCTGAAAATCTTTATATTCTTTAGAAGTCCTTTCCCCTCCACCCCCTAGGAAGGAATTTCTTGTCTGTCTACATGATTTGCCACAGCTACTGCAACAATGACAACAACAATGACAAGATGAAACAATAAAATGGTTTATACTGGCATCTTCAGACATCTTAAGGCCTTCTTTCCCTCAGCACAAAGCAGAGTTGCTCTCCAGTTACCCTCCAGCTGCAGCAAACATCTCCCTCCAACACGGACACAGTAGGGAAAGCAGCACAACCTCACACCTGGAAGCAAGTGCCACATATACCTCGGCCAACAGAAAACAGACTGAAAAACAGATCCTTCCCACACACAGCTCACTGCTCTTTAGCTAACAGGACAGGTAAGAAGGATGAAGCTGTATTGGCAAACCCACAGCCAGCTGAGGGCATCCACAGCAAGACAAGGCCTCTCTCTCCTGCTCTGATGGGACATGGACAGGGTTCCTCTAACTGGGCCCAGCCTGCGAGCGAGCGGGAGGGCACTAATCAAACATCACTCACTCTTCTTTCCATAGGGTTTCTTCTTCTTCCTGGGCACCTCCTTGGCCTTCGCTGGAGTTGTGGGCTCTGTCATGGAGACGAGAGGGAAACGAAAGCCAAGTCCCATAACCAGTAGGTAACTGGGATGAAGTGACATAAGCGAGAAACAGATATACCCGTCCCCCCAAGCCAAAGCCCTCTTCCCAAGACAACCAGCTGAGGAGAAAGCAAGGCTCTAGTGCAGTTGCTGTCTGTGCTTCCAGGTGAGAGCCCAGGCTGACAGGCTGGGGCAGCACAGGGGAGAGAGGCCCAGTACAGACTTGGTAGGGGCAGTTAAGAAACAAGATTTGTAGTCTGGGACAAGAAGGAAAACATCTGCAGAGGTGAGGCAGTGGCCTCCCTGTGACAAGGGAAGGAACGAACTCTTGAGAGGATGCTCTTACCTTTTACAGACAGAGTCAGAGAGTGGATAAGAAAAGGGAGCATGGGGCGAGCTCCTGCTGCTATCTGGCTAAGGTTATAGATATGCTTAATAAAAGGGAGCTGTGCAGGGATAGGACCGCCTGGAACTCTACCCAGCTTCCTCAGGAGTAATTAATTCTGTGTTGGTGTGGGGGAACAGAGCCAACCTCAAAACTCAGGCTGTTTTCTCCCCATCAGGCTCCTCCCTCTGCCAACTCCTAGAACATGGCAACAGAGGAAGATTTACGGTAGCCAGTGCAAATCAAGGAAGCCATTTGCTTCTCCCTCCAAGGCCCAAAAATAAAGGAGCCACTCACAGAGCAAGAGGAAGGAAATCTTTATCTCTAGCATTTGAAACCACAGTAAAATCTTCACTCACCTGGAACCACTGGTGGTTGAAGCTGATAGCCTGTCAGCTCACACCACCCCACAGGATAGATGTCTGGAGACTCGCAGTCCACCCACTGGTCATACTCGTTGTCCCAGCCATCAAAATGGATGCTAAGGAGACGCTGGACTACACGCTTCACTGTGGCCACACAGATGAGCCGGGGTTCCATCAGGTCCACTGCCTCCACCTTCATGCCTGCCTTGAAGCCATGGTTTGGACAGTCCTGGGTGCATAAAAAATGGAAACATGAAAAAAGAAAAGCTAAGGCCATTGCACTCAGTCCAAACCCGTATCTGGCCAACACCACTCTCACACAGGTTGGCCTCCCACCTAAAGCAAGCAGACAAGACAACAAGCCCATAGATCCAAAAACAGATCCAAGGCCAACTGTGTCCT